TAACATCTTGCTTGAAATATTAATGATTTTTGGGTCCACTTTATTTATGCCCAGCTTTTCCACCGATATATCTGAATTTTGCCCCCCCCCCCACAAAAAAGGATTACCTTGGTTGTGTATTTTGTTTTTTTGTTTTGTTTTCTTTATTGGCTTCACATGTATATAAAGCAAATTATATATATGTAATCTTCTGGGAAACACCATTCAGTGCGCCAAAAGACAGAACACATGTTATTTTGATTCTTTATCTTAAGGGAACTCACTATTCATTAACAAAATAATTTGAATCTCGATCCCGATCAAAAATACACTTACATGTACAACTACCACACTCCTTCCCTCTTACATTTGATCCCCCTCAAAACTTTACTACCAATCAAATCAATCTTCAAATTAATTTTAGCCAGTCAATAACTTTATCAAGTCAATATAGCAAAGGTTCATTCTCTATAAGGCCATTTTCCGGCCTACGATAAAACCATTTTAAAATGTGATTTTATATTACCTTAATCATTCTTGTTCATGATTTTGATGTTTGTTTTTCAACATCGATCATCTAAGTCACGTGATTTAGAGATAAAAAATGGCCGTCAGTGAAAGAAAAATTGAGGGTAGGTGTATTTAAATCAAGCTTTTATGCATGTTTCTGGATGTAAATAATCAAAAATTGTTTATTTATGTCGGAAATACATCAGACCAAAGTAATAAATTCAAAGATTTTTTGAATTTAAGGTTTAAGATACTTTTTATGACAAGAATTCCCATGCATCCACATTTTGCATATTTTGAACGTAAATCTTTACAAAATTCACACTGAATACTGCTGAAAAAGTTTGATTTGCAATTTATTGAAAAGTATTATATGATATATAATTATATTGTAATTGTATATCATTTCTATAGATGTGGTACTTATTTTACGCATAAAATAACCATGCTAGAAATGAGGTTTCTAATGTTCTTTTGAAATCTAAGAGTTATGTATCAAATGTTGAAAGAACTGAATGGATTTTGATTGTGATTAAATAAAACTGAAGTAGTAATTAAGAAAAGAAATTCAACAATTGCCAAAAATAAAGAATTAACAGCATAAGAATATCAGTACAAGTACATGTTGACTATCCATACACATGTAAATAGTCAATACATATAGCAGTTGCATTAAAATATACATCTCTAAGCTAAATGAAATAACGTTGTGAAAAATGGCTTTGCTTTTATTTAATTACTCGTGTTGCCATTATATTCAATTAAAAATGCCATCTAAACTTTATGTATTTACATGCATAAAAGTTGAGCCCCCCCCCCCCCCCCCCTTTGGTCTAACGGCACAGCATAAAATGGAGCAGAATTTTAACAGTTCCTTCAACTGTGCATATCTGATTCTGAAGTTTTAATTTCGTATATACTAGTGTACGGACTTAAGAGTTCTACAACATCACAGGTACAAAATGGACCTTTGGGGTTTTATTCTCCTTTCCCACTCTTGAAACCTGTTTGGTTGAATTCAGCCTCTTTCCAAGTGCAGCGTCAAAAACTTGTTTAGCACGGATAGTGACAGTGCCATACCTTTAGTCATTAGCATTAAAATTAAATATCATCGGTCTTTTGGATATAATCTTCTTTTTAAAAAAAAAAAAAAGGGGGCCCATCCCTTCGGTTATTGGTTATTAATGCAACTATGCATTTATAAACATTTGACCTTAAGTGGATGATTTCTTTATCTGGTTGAAAAATCCTTAAATGGGGTAAAGCAACATTCAATTATATCGATCACATATTACATTTAGGAATCCCTCCTCTCTTTACCAGTTTATTTTTTTTAGACAGGACTAATGTTATCTTGATTTATATCGATGATGTCAAAGAAGTGTGATGAATAGATTGAGTCATCTCAATTTTAAGACCCATTAAACAAAATATGGATCACATGATACTCGTACGAGAGTGTCCATATACAAATTATGTGTGTACCCATAGGAAAAAAGTCTATACAAAAATGATAAATGCATGTTACCATTTCAACAAAGACTGCTTTCATCATTTCTAGAACATATATAGTACTCATAAGGAAAAACAATTTAAAGAATATATGGAGTACTCATAATAAAATTCAAAGAAGTAGCATATATAGATATACTAACTATAACTATCATTATAAATATAAAAGATAACTCATATTCACACCTTATATTCTATAAAAAGATTTTATTTCTTAATCTTTATCAGACATTTCAAAAGAAACGTCACCACTTGTTATTTCATGACATCCAGTCTTCTCAGTCCTTTGATTTTTAGATTTTTAAGTAAAAAGATCACATTTTTTTTTTAGTAAATATGCATGGCTGATATAAATCTTAGTAAATCAACAGATAATTGTACTCTAACCAAAAGTTCACAAAAGAAATAATCTATATAAGCTGATATCCTTCTTTGTGAATAGTAAACTTTTTCAGAAAATATCGTAAAAATAAAGTGAAAAGTTTTTATTTAGGTGTCATAACCACCTTTATCCAAATTCATAATTTGGTAGTCACTTTTTATGTTTATAAGAAATGTACATGCAAATTTTGGTGTTGGTTAAAGGTGGTTATGACATGCATAGGAGTTATTTAACCACCCTCTTGTTTTTTCCCATTACTCTAATGCTAATACGGACCGATAGTACCTTACTTTTTGACCCTATATCATTAAAAATACTGAAAAATCATTAACCAACCAATATTTATCATTAAATTGGAACATAAGCCTAGTGATTCGTGCAATTTTTAAGGGAAGAAATACTATTTGAAAATTTGAAGTCATTGTAGGCCGAAAAACGGCCTTATAGAGAATGATCCTTTCAATTCAAAAGTAAGTATTTAAATTTTTGGTTGAATTTCGTTCACGTGCGGGATAACGCTTGACTGGTGTTATTGGAACGGGTATATTTTGATTGGACGGCGGAGAGTCAGCTGAAGAAATGGTTTGATTGTCACTCGGGTTTGGCGACTGGTTTTGAGCTCTGAAATGTGGAATGTGTTCAGGTGCATTTGACGGAGATGTTACACCTGCATGAATGAATGTAAAGTTGACATCTACAGTGGAGTCGAAGATTTCGATGTTCTGTTTTTTCCTGTGGAAGATTAGCTTTACAACTAAGCAAATGATCGCAAAGACAATACCGAGTCCATTTGCCAACCCTCACAAGATATGTCAGAGGTCCCATCACCTTGTGAACATTGCCTGGAATCCATTTCCATTTGCCAGCTTGAATAGTTGTTTTCACCTGTACTTTCTCCCCAGTGTGGAATTTTTTTTACTTGAAAGACTCCTCTGTCATGGTTTTGTTTAATTTTCTGCTGATAATTTTACACTCGTTTTCCAGTGCAAGGTTTTATTACAGACAGGTTGGTTCTAAGCTGCCTCCGCAGCACAGTTAAGGTTACAGTAAAGAGGCGGGGCCTAATTTGTACGGGAAATGTTTACTATGACGTCACACGTAATATAGGGTCTTCAAAATACCACAAAATGAAATTATTTGCTATTTCAAACAGCTGGATAGCTGTATACTACATACAAACTTACTATTACATGCAGTTTTGTCGTTTGTTAAATCCCACACAACAGTATATAAACGATGCATCGATCGCAATGCACTTGTCAATGTGACGTCATCTCGCAAAAATGACGCAGTTTGTACACAGTGAAAGGCTGATCAAGTCACATTTTGTACAATGAAAAATGTCATTTGTTCTCAAATAAAATATTATTTCCAGTAAAATAAAAAGCCGTTAACTAGGATGCGATGTCTATTTTAGTATTTTATTTATAAACTGTATGTGCATTCTCCAGACAAGCGATAATGTCGTGTGTTTGTATGCAGATTCATTGGAAAAGTAATGGATGGGACCTAATAAATCAATTTATTGCAAGGGCATACCCTCCATGTATCTTGTCAAAATTTCACACGTAAACTCAAGAAGCATTAAGATATTTGAAAAGTGCTGCGAACTTCTTGAAATTTTGCAAATAGATTAATTATAGCTATATTTAATGTAGTTGACCAGCAAAATATTCAACCTGCCGTCCAACAAATTAAATTTTACCAATTAAAAAAAAGGAATCTATATAGGTTCGCAGCACTTTTCAAAAACTACATATAGTGTTGAAAAGGATCATAAAATAAACTAAGATTTTTAACTTGGTTATGCCCTTGCAATATTGAAATTTAAAGATGACCTCTAAACTGCAAGTATTATTGCCAAAGTCATGTGACGTCGACATTACATGACAAGTCTAAATAAAAAATCTAAATGTCCCCAACATGTAGATTTAAACCACATTTCATTTTTTTGATATCAGTGAATTCCTAAAAAGAATCGCCCATCCTAATAAAGTATGTATTTTTATCTTTAAAAATCGTCGATATTTCCATTTGTAACCTTAACTGTGCTGCGTCTTTAGGAAAAGCTCTGCATGCAGGAGCAACTCCTGTGGTAGTTTATAGTGTTTTCTTGTATTTAAGAAGTAGGTCAGCCAATTTATGTTCGAGGGAGTGCGGATTCCCATCAGCTTCCTTACATTGCATTGCCTTTTTAACAATCTGCGCACCTCTCTCAGCAAATCCGTTTAACTGTGGATGGTAAGGTAGTACCAATTTGTGCTTTATTCCGTTCAGTCGTGCAAACACCTTAAATTCACTTGATGTGAATTGTGTCTCGTTATCACTTACTATCTCTTCCGGTAGTCCTCTCGATGCAAACAGCATTCTGAGCTTGACAGTTGTCATTAAGCTTGTCATGGATCTTAATGGAATGTCGTCTATCCACTTAGAGTAGCTATCATTAACAATAGGTAAGGATTGACCCTTGTAGTCAGCATAATCAATATGTATGCTCTGAAATGGTCTCATAGCCCAGATCCAGGGATGCAGTGGTGCTGATTTTAGACTTTCTTACAGACATACATGATGGACAGTTTTCGACAACTTCCTCTTTGTCCTTATCTAGGTTTGGCCACTATAGATATCTACGCGCTAGTGACCTGCACATTCCCAAGTGTTCCTCATGAAGTTCTTCGAGTATGCGCTTTATCAAAGTCTTAGGAATCACAACTCGAATTCCCAATAACACAACTCTTTGCTCTACACTCAAAGATATCCTCCTCTCAAAGAATGGTTGAAGTTCTGGATCTGCATTGTGATTTGGCCATCCAGTTAAGGTAAGTTTATGTACCTTAGATAGCCCCGGATCCATCTTTGTTGCTTTATAAATGTCAGTGTTCGAAACTGGAAGTTCTATATCATCCAGTTCAGAGAAGTAGATTTCTTCATAATCTTCCTGTGCCTGGTTATCTGAAATAGGAAGTTTCGATAATGAATCACAGTTTCCATTTTCCTGTGATGCTCGATACTGTATTTGGTACTGGTATCCTGATAGTATGAGAGCCCATCTCTGCATTCTCTCAGCAGCTTAGGTTGGTACTCCATTCTTTGGTCCTAAAATAGTGACCAATGGCTTGTTGGCTTGTTATCTGTGATAAGAGTAAATGTCCTTTCATACAGGTATTTGTGGAATTTTTCCACCCCAAATATGATGGACAACGCTTCTTTTTTCCACTTGTGCATAGTTACGTTCACTGGAATTCAAAGTCCTTGAAGCAAAGGCAATGAGCCTCTCTGATCCAGCATCCATAATGTGAGACACTACAGTTCCAAGGTCATATGCCGGAGAATCACATGCTATACGAAGAAGTTTGTTCATATCATAAAAAAACTAACAGTTTTCCTTTCGTAATCATCTGTTTGCCGTCCTCGAAACTCTCTTCACACTTGTCTGTCCATGACCAATTTTCCCCTTTTTTTCAGTAATTGGTGTAAAGGATGTAGCACAGTACTTAAATTTGGTAAGAATGATCCATAATAGTTCAAGAGTCTTAAGTATGCATTTACTACCTTTACATCCTTGGAGCATCACGTGTTGCAGCAATTTTCTCATCTGTAGGATGCATCCCCTGTTTGTCCACAAAAATCCCATGTATATCACTTGATCAGCCATGAAGATACATTTGTGCTCTCGCAGACGGTGAAACACTTCTTGGATGGTCTTGACATGAGAATCATCATCTGGAGTTATGATCAGGATATCATCAATGCGGCATACTACATACGGAAGTCCGCTTAAAATCTTGTTAATTACTCCTTGGAAAATGGCACTAGATAAACACACCCCGTAGGCTAGTCTTCTATAACGATAAAGTCTTAAGTGGGTATTCACTGTGAGATACTCTTTCGAGTCACTACTCAGCTCCAACTGAGAATATGCCTGACGCAAATCAAGTTTTGTTAACTTCTCTCCTCCTGCTAGAGTCGCAAACATATCATCCGTTTTAGATAAAGGATACTGTTCTCCGCTAATGACTCGATTTACATTGACTTTGTAGTCACCACAAAGTCTCACGGATTTATCTGGTTTGGGAACCACCATTATCAGTGCAGCCCACTTACTTGTTTTTACGGGATAAATCACTCCTCTTTCTTCGAGCTTCTTCAAATTCTTCAAATCACCACTCTTTCCTTGAGGGCATAGGGGGCTGGAAGGGCCTTGGAAAAATTGGTTGGCACTGTTCTTTGATTCTAATCTGAGCCTTGAAGTTTTTTATTGGATCTGAATTCTCGAATAAATCCTCATACTCCTTACGTAAGGTATCTACCGATCCACTTTTCACTGAGAAAATGTTTTCATAATTCAGTTTGATCCTTGACAACAGATCTCTTCCTAGAAGACAGGACTGGTTTCCTTGAACTGTAAGAAGTAACATTCGAGGCACACATCGTTCACCATACTTGGCAGTCACATCAAATTCACCTAGAATTGCAATTTACTCCTTGGTATAGGATTAAAGCGATGCTGATGATATCTTGAGCTCATACTCAGATTCTACGTCTGTAGACTGCTTCATTCACTATTGTTCTCATACTGCCTGTGTCGATCTGAAACTTCACAAGTTTGTCTCCTAGCTCTAGGTCAACCGAACAGTCCTTTGTTTGCTTGATGTTTCTGTGTTGAAAACAGAGTATATACTATGTTCTTTATGATGATATTCATCACTGTGATCAAATTTTGAGTACTCATTCACATATAGAATAGATTTTCCATTAAACTTTGGATTACCCTTTTCATGTGTGCATTTCTTTGCCAAATGTCCAATCTTATCACATTTGAAACACTTTGTGTTCGTAAATTCACATGTATCTGCATCATGTTTTCCCCCCACAAACAAAAACACTGTCTTACTGCACAATGGGCTTCGCTTTTTTTTCTGTCCCTCTAATGATTTGGCTTTGATTTCAAATAATGAACTGGTGTAGAATTACCGGTGAATGACAAAGTATACTTTTCCGCAGTTTCCATTCCTGTAGCCATCTGTATTGCTTTTTTTTTTCAAAAGTGAGGTCTGCCTCGGACAGTAATTTCTTTTGAATTTCTTCAGATCTTAGTTTACAAACAAGTCTGTCTCTCAGCACTTCCTTTAAAAAGTCCCAAAATTCACAATATTTTGATAAGTTCTTCAACTCGCACATATACTCATTTGCTGTCTCGTCTTCTCTCTGTTTTCTCTTGTTGAATTTGAAGCGTTCGGAAATCACTCAAGGTTTTACTTTGAGTAGTCTGTGAGAGTTTTTACTATGTCTTGAAAGGACTTTTCTTTCAGCAAAGCAGGCTGAAGTAGATTCTTTAGGACACCATACTTCGTTGGTCCAATTTCCGACAGAAAAACTGCTACATGTACCATTTTCTCTCTTTTTTTTTCTTCATTTGCTTCAAAATACTGCTTCATCCTCTCCATGTAGTTCACAAATGTCTCCTTACCGTCGATGAATTCTCCGAGTTTCCCGATATGCGCCATTTTTGTTTATGCACAAATGTCTCCGACACCTTTATGCCTCGAAATATCCACCTCGTCGCCACAGTAATATCCTGGGAAACACCATTCAATGCGCCAAAAGACAGAACACGTATTATTTTAATTCTTTATCTAAAGGCAACTTACTGTGCATTGACAAAATAATTTGAATTTCGATCCCTATCACAAATACAATAACATGTTCAAATACTACAATATATATAAGTAAAACATGATTGCGCCCATGTGAAAAGGGTCCTTATGGCAATTTTTATGCATTTTGAGTTTTTCACGTGAATTCTGATAGAGTAAGGTTAGAAGTTGTCAAATATGAATTTTTATGGTCCTACGTCTACTCTAAGTAGGTTTTTTCTTTACTTTTATCAAATATACTTTAACAGGTTAATAATGACGTCATGTTTTTCAACAACGTAAAACGTTTTCAGAGTGAACGTTAAATGATTTTCTTCTGTAATTTTACTAAGGTGATTAATAGTTGTGAAATAATTGATATTTTCCCATGCACATTATTTTTATCTCATTGTCTCTTAATTATTAATAATTATTTAATAGTTATATATATTATGGATTTATCAGTGGTGTATAGTATTATGAGTGAGTGTTTGTTTTACATTTCACTTTTCTATGACACCAGGGGGAAACCTGAACAGCGGGCAACATGCATTCATTTTTTTTTAAACAATTATTTTCTCATACAAAATATTTACTGGTAATCCATGCAAGAGTCATTTGATAAGCCTGTAGAATTCATTCGAAAATTATTTTAATTTAAACATTGCTCTCGATAGGTCAAGATTTCAGTATTTACGATATATTTTTATTCACCATATATGTCAAAATTATTTTTCTTTTTAAATTACAACATTACGCTACTTTAATGCTACTGCGAAGTGAAAATTTATTGATTGTTCTTTCTTTCTAAATTTTATATAAAGACAGAAAATTGTGAAGTGTGGTACATGTAACATGTAATTACGATACACAATAGGCAGTAAATAAAAAGGAAATTCGGTTGATTCACTGCATCTATAAGGTTGTCGGGTTTGCATTGGGTCAATAATGACCCTGCTTTTTTGAAAATATAAAGGATACACGAATATTTTTCAGTCTAGCAGTAAAAATATTTAATATTAACCAATCAAAAAGGTGAAAATTTTACAAACAAATGAATGAGTTATAATCCGCAATTATTTACACAATAGATAAACACAGGATTAAGATTTGTAGGATTATGTGTATGTTGGTGAAAGGGGGGGGGGGTAAAAAATCTCAATAGCTGAAACTTACAATTCTTGTGAACACGAGTTAAAATAAATGAAAAAAAATATTTTTTTTTACTTCAAAAGTTTTAGGTGCACCTACTACCATAAACCCTACAACTTGCAGATTCACTTTTTTATTTAGGTTTGAAATAATGCTGCCTATTATTCTTCATTTTATATTTGTATACCTCTAATTCTGAGCATTGCCATTTTCAAATCGCACAGCGATCATAAACATTATGAGCCTGGACTGAATTGCTATGAATTCAGTATTGTTAATCATGTATATAATGATACCCTAAAAAAAAAAAAGATCTGGTTTTATTTTATGAAATGGATGGTTTCAGAAGCACACCCATTGAATTAAATTAAAGATGCCATTTACGGTTAACATGAATATGTATAACTTTTGTTGGGGTAGGGGTGGGTTAAAGATTAATAACATGTAATTGTTTATGCCTAAATATACAGTCAGTTGAATATGACTGTTTTGTATAATATATTTCCTGACAATTGTCTGTGAACTGGCTGAGCTTTGAAATGTCAGATTTTTGTAGGGATGTAAACATCTTAGAAAATCATCATATTATTTACGACCTAATTAAAAAAAATCCCCTTCATTGCAATTTTGTTTTCTAATTGTTTTAAAGAGTATGAATTCCATTCTGGTCCCGTGCCCAGGGACATAGCGGGGGCAGGGGGGGGGCTTGGCCCTTCACTTTTTTCCCCAACCTTACAATTTACTTATACTATAGGAATTGATAATTGAAAGTTTGGTTGCCCCCCCCCCATTATTAGTTATGCACGGAAAACGTAGTATAAAAATTAATACTGAAAAAAGTTAGCCTCTAACCCACCCTCCCCAAGAAATAGGATTTTAGACTTTGTGCAACATTAACCTTTTTTTTTGCTTGTCAACTTTTTCAGGGAAGTAAAAAAAATTCTCTAGCTGCCCCCCCCCCCCTTTCAAAAATGATGCTACGTGCCTGGTGCCAGAAGCTTGGATATGCTAAGCCAGAGTCTTGTAAAGCCTACATGTTACGAAAATATTATACGGACACCCCCCCCCTCATCCCCTGCACTGCAGCCAAAATAAAACAAAATGCAAGCATATTGTTGCGGTTTTATGTCATGTATTTTCAGCATTGAATTTTATTTTCTGTTAGCATTTACATGTAGAAATAAAACCTGACCCTGAACTTATAAAGATTCTATTAACCAAAACAAAATATAATAATTTTTGAGCATAATTAATAATATTAATCCATAATTTGATGGCAGGTTGAACAGTATATTACTCCACACTGATAACTGCAATGAGATTATAAGTTCAGTGGTGATTGAGTTTTTAGCATGATAATTGATCTGTTAAGAGACATTCAATGCTGATCGAGCTTTTATGAAAGACAAAGTTCGGCATGGCTTAAAGAATTAATTTGCAGATAATGCTTAAAACATTTGAACTCCGTATGAAAAAAAAAACAACAACACGTAAGTACCAAAGAGTTACATGTATATTAAATTTGGAGATCTTGAAAATAAATAGCTATACATGTACATATAGTTTAGAGAACAAAAATGATATTTTCTTTCATTTATTATTTCATTTGTTTTGAAAACTCATCTTTTTCAATAGAGTTCACATTTCTCATTATTAGATAAAAAGATTCAATATAAATATTTTTATCTACCCTACATCCCCCCCCCCTCTCTCTCATCAGATTTACTTGACCAGCTCTATTTAAGTTAAAACATTTAGAACATTTTTTTTTTCATTCGGAGGTTTTTTGCTTGTTTTAATTTCTCTAAATTGAAGTGTCTTTGTGCAACAAGAATGTAAGCCAAAACAACATTTCTAAATTATAATTTATTTAATCATGATCATAAGGAAGACACATTACATGTTTATTATTTTTTAAAAAATGAAATTCGTCGATGAAATTATTTCATGCCAAAAAAGCTATAATATAAGAGATTTGAAAAAAAAAAAAATGAAGTCTGTTCAATTTTGCAGTTTTCTTTTTTCTTCTTCTTTGTTTTTCCTTTTTCTACATTAACCATATTCCCTAAGTACAACAATATTTTTTTATTTAAAAATTAATAATTATATGATGACGATTAAAAGTTTTTTATTTGGTCATAAAATATCTCTTTTATAATCCGGGGAGAAATTTCATGCGAACATCCAGCTGAAATGTGAAAAAGTACGCAATTTAAATAATGAATGTCCCTGTCTGGTACCCCTGTTACATCGATTGTTGACATCAGAGTTATCTCTCCTATTTTTATTTATAGAA